TTTTTGGGGTACTGCAGTTTTTCGCCGTTTCACGGTCGCACGCAATCTGTAAACTGGGCATGTTGGGTATCGTTTTACTCGTTGTAACCTCATCTTTTATATTTCATTAAAAAAATGGGTAATTTGTTGTGTTTTGGGGCATTTAATTAAATTTGTCACTAAATTTTGGGGTTTAATAAGGAGTTGCGCTAATATTGCGCAACATAAAAATTTTCAACTACCACCATTTTATTCTATAGGGTCTTGGCATTCAGAAAATATATAATGTTGGGGGGTTTTACGTCATTTTCAGGCCTAAAATGTGGAATATAACATGGGTGCAAAAATGGAAAAAAGGGCCTCAGTCATGAAGGGGTTAAAGGATGCTGGAGAATGATACTAAATAAAAAAGGTACAAATACTGGAAAAGCATGCAAAAGCATATACAGGGTATAAAGTGGTTTGTAAAAAAATATATAAAATAAAGAGTATCTGAACATATATAGCTAATAAACAAATATTCAATTTGATATAATTCAAGGTTATGCTGATTGGCTAAAGTCCATGGTACTAGCAGAAGCCATAAAACATGGCAGTATAATAATATGTGAACATCATTACATGTAACAAGTAGTTGGTAATGCTCAATTCATAAGAAAAACAAACAATATAATCATCTTAGTCCAAGCAGACCGGAAGTGTGACTACACAAAGGTCTAGACAGCAGACCATAAATGATATAGAGCAATATGTGTAACATCCACTAAGTGCTGATGGATATTTGAAATAAATGAAGTAACATGTTAATAGAGAAAAGGAGAAGAATTTTCTGTGATGTTATATTTTTCTCTTCTTTGTAAATATGAGTTTGTGTGATAAGACATTATCAGTGGGTTGTAGGTTGAATTACTCTATCATCTCTGTCTGTTTCATTAATGCCTTTAGAGTAGAGGGTTTTTAGTGTAAATATCCACTAGGATTCCTGTGTTTAGTCTTCTGTATCTGTCAAATTGACCTGAAGCTTTTATATGTTCTGTGTGTGTGACATTCAGCAGTATTATAGATTTGTAATAGAGTCAGTCATAATGTTTTAATACTCTGCATTTCATTACGCAGAACTCCCGGAATTATTTTAATTAACTCTTGCAGTGGGGCTACTCCCCGCACTGCAAGGGTTAACTGCTCATTTGTGTCTAGGTTAAAAAAAACAAAGATATACTCACCCAAACCTCCAAGCCGACTTCTTCTTAGACCGGTTCCTGGAATGACTCTCCCCCTCCATTGCAGCGGTCTAAGGTCCAGTAAATCATCATGTCTATACACTGGGCATAGACGTGAGGACACTGAAGAACATTCAAATGTGCTGCTGCGGAGGGGACAGGCTGGAGGGAGCACCATGATAGTTGGCCGGCTCTGAGTGAGTATATCTTTCTTATCTTAGCACCTAGGCACAAACAAGCACTGTCTGTGCTGACCCTATTCTGTTTTAGTTTTTGTGTAGTGTTCCCTATGGTACATAGGGAACACTACACAAAAACTAAGAAACAGAATGGGTCAATATGTTTCTATTTGCAGATGCATGCACTTTGACCCCAACTGTTGCAAAATTTGCCTGAACACCCTGCAATGGAACTCTGACATCTTGGATATTTTTTTTAGCATCAAGCAGTCAGGTTCTTGAGCTACATTTGCTGGGTCGTCCTGTCTTGGATCAATTAGCAGTCGTTTTAACACTACTCCACTTGACCATTTTTAAACAGTCAGATCTTTGGCTTGAATTTGCTGGGCCGGCCAGTCCTAGGCAAATTAACTGTCATTTGTATTTTATGCCACTTTTTTTCTAAATGTATTTCCCTTACAGTGGAATGCTTGATTTCAAATCAGTTGGCCATAGTTTAAATCCCCTGCCATATTCACATGCATCCACAACCTTCTTTCTGAGGGTCTTAGAAAGTCCTGTTGATCATGGCATGATGACACCACACACATGAATAGCAAAGATAACACCAGACCCTAGACATCTGAGGTTTAAATAAGATAAGTCTAAGTACGGTTCTAAATATTGGCACTTAATCTGGAGCACTGAATTATAAATGTCATAGATTTGAAGTGGTGGTAAATGTAGAGTGTACCTACTTTTTTTCTGAATTTTGCTATTTTAAATCATGAAATTGAATACACCAATTTTATACGTCATTTGTTATATCACCTTTATCTGTAGGCACTATTTTTGAACCAAGATCTAATATTTGCCTGTGTATACAGTATATATATATATATATGTTGAAAAAGTCAACAATTTCCATGGTGTGTACTTACTTTTTCACATGACTGTGTATATTAAACTTAATTATGGTAATATGAAATGGAGAACTATGGGGTGAGTGTCACACATCGGCTCTATTGAACGGTAAGTGAGCGAACACATACCGTTGCTCGCTCCCTTCCCGATCATCTCCCTGCAGAGAGTGATGACTGTCCAGTCACTGCTCCCCCCCCCCCACAGGGATTACCCCCTCCCCTGTCCGATCTTCCAGCTAGAGCCAGCTATCACCCGGGGGGGTGGGGGGGATTTTGACAGTATTGTCGGGATCCATCCTGGCTGCGGTGCGCTTAGCATATAGCGGGCAATGGTGCAGAGTTTTGGATCACGGGAGGACACAGCACATGTCCTCTCGTGACCCTGAGGAGAACTATAGGGGAAATAAAAGGATGTGTATTTTACGTAAAAACATGGCATATGTCTGATTATACATTCATCTTCCAATCTCACAAGCAGAACTTTTTGGTCACAGTCAAATGAATCACCCTAGGGACTGACCAGAACAATTTCTTTTTATGTAGTTATACACAAGGTTAGCTAAGCTGGATTAATTTGTTAAATGATTCCAATCAGTAGGATCATTCGTTGTATAACTGGCTTACATGTAGACTGATCCCTTGGTTCAGAGGCCCTGTAATGCAGTACAAACAACAAAGTTACCTTTTGGCATTATGTGGTGAAGGGCAACAGACAGGAAAAAGATGGAATCACTGTAGTAAGTTCCCGTGCCAGCACTGAAGAGTTTCTGCATGGCTTCTACTATAGGGAATAGCTTTTCCGTCAGGGCACTGACATCATGGAATATGACCTATAAGGAAGAGATTAAACAAGTATGAAAGATAAAGCAAGATACTAGATGAAGATCTGATGTCATTGGAACACCATTCAACAATTTCCATTTTGAAGAACAAGGCCATATAAGCATCAATGAGTGATCAATGCTTGCAAAATCAAACATGTTTCCGCCCATTATAGTCAGATAAATCAACGGAGCTTAACAAATGTTTGATTACATGATCTACTAGACTGGCTTATCCCTACTGTTATTTTCTGTATAAACAAAAGAACAGAATTGCTTCAAAATGTATTTAGAGGGTGAAAATAAACACTACCCAACAGTCACAATGATATAGATTTTTATTTTTTAAAGGAAAAACTAGGTTTTAGTTAAAACCACATTGTTTTCATACTTTTCCATTTGAGTAGATGTACAATGTATGTTTTGCTACATGCTTATGTATGTCAAAGTGTCAAGGTGAGTGCCCCACACAGGAACCAGAGCCGTAAATGCATTACAAGCCAGCCCTTCCAGCAGGGGTCAGAGAGTGGCCCACCAAGGCTCAGCTGAGAGGTAAACTTGCCCTAACAGCTTTGATATGCTGCAATAACCTGAAGGTAGCTGCAAAGCCCATTCATAAAAAATTAACACCCTGTGATATACAATTAAGAAAAACATACTTCTTTCTTAGGAGGGAAAAAAACAAACCAAATGTTTTCAGTCATATATCAAATAAACACCTTTATATTTCATTTATTTAATGAATAATTCTATTCGACTACTGGATTGTACTGTTTGCCGCAGACCCATATATGTGATTGTATTTTCAGTGTTATCTATTATGCATTACTCAAAATGCGAGAATTCATTGAATCCTTCTGCAGGGAAATAGCTCCACATGGGAACAGACCTCCTGAGATGTTGTGCTGCTCTGCAGGGACAATTCCGAAGTCCTAAGAAATAAGGCTGAAGGTTATCCTGAGTTCAGGCTTCTATTTTGCTGTTACCAGCTCAAAAAACAAAGTTTCAATCGCAGATCACGCATGCTGTGATCCACCAAATGACTGATGAATTCTTTTTGTGGAGCCGTCAGCAGTTTGTTGAAATACAGGGTATACAGACAAAGAACAGCGAAAATACAAAGCTACATCACATCACATGAGGCAAACAAGTGACAATTTTGGTACACTGCACTTTTTCATCATTCATTGTATGTAGTATAGAAAAATCTATCATCACCTGAAAAACAATCCACTTGTAAATGCAATACAGTAATGTACAACTATCTTTTCTCAAAAACAATTGTTGTAAGAACGTATTTAGGAACATTAAAAGTACATTACTTATGAATGTAAGCAACAATTTTTTTCAAGTCAGTCATGTCTATAGAAGCCTCCTTTTTGAAGCACTAAGTAGACATGGACAGCATCGCTGAAACAGGAAATACAATGAGGATAGGGTTTCTTGTTTGGCCCCTGTCCTCATGGTAATGTCCAAATGTCCTTTCTGTGTAACTCATGCTGCAGGACTTTTCTAGTATAAGTTGCCGACAGCCATGCCCCTTTTCCCCATAGTATACCTGACACAAAAGCAGATACTTTCTGTGCTGCCTGTGGCAGTGCTGCAGAAGCTAGCCCACGAGAAGTAGGGGATGCACAAATACACGAGGAGGATTCCCAAGGACATTAGCTACAGATGTCCATGGGGGCCGTGCTAATTAAAAAGCCAATGGCCAACTAAATTGATAATAGCTCCACTTTAAGGAAAAGTGGAGCTATCATTAAAATGCCAGGTTAGCCATGATAAAGTATCTCAATGCTCTACCAATCAGCAACTTGGAGATCATCCATTTTTTTTTTTTTTTATTGATATCCCAGCCTTATGCATAGTTTCTGTTTTATACCTCTCAAACAACGTCCATGCCTTTTGATACTAAGGGCATGCAACGCTTCAACTCCAACCTTTCTGTAAGTAATTTCCCCAGTTCCATCTCACTACGCTGCTCAGGAAAACATTTCTAAATCTGGATTCTCCTCTCAGAAAGTGCTGACCGTTTACAGAAATCTACAGCTTAAGTGTATGCATATAGTAAATGGACCCAAGGGCACAAAAGATACCTTCTTCAACTTGACATAATTTCACATATAATAAAAACTGTGTTTCAAATGAATACCTGGGCTGAGAGGTATTACCTCTCTTTTACGCTGTGATGTGGCACAGCTAGAAAGAAGAAACCCTTATCTGCACTTTATTAAAGGAAGATCCGGAGTCTTAATCATCAGAAATATTTATGTACGCACTATTCATATTCTGTGTCTGCAACCAGCCTTTAGGTTTTTACAAATGCTTGTAAATTAATGTTTATTATAACATAAAAGGACAAAGACACCATTAAAGGTTGTGGAGAAATGAAATAAAGAAAGAAATGTGTCAAGGTAAGCTACGGTAATGAATAGCAGATCCCAGCAAGTAATGACAGCTTTATTGTTAAGGCTAAAAAGAAAAACTCCTCTTCAGCGATTCAGTGTCTTGAACACTGATAAATACTTCCTAATCTTATAGTTGAGAATGTACAATACACATGCAAGATGTAAGACATGGAATTACAATTGTTAAGATTTCATTCTACAAATTTCATTCAACAATTAATAAAAGGTAAAACACAAAAAGTGCAAATGTGCTGTATATATATATATATATATATATATATATATACACATACACACACACACATACACACACACTACTCTTAAAGAGCTTACAAATCACACTATATTTAAAAATAAGTAAAAGCTAATGCAAATATTGGCATGGAAAATATTAGGACTAAAAATCGCAGTAAAACTGATCCTCTTTATACCAGGACTTTTTTTTAAATCAAGAAGCCTGAAGAGGCCGGTTAGCCCCACGCTCGCCAGTACAAGATGCAGCTGGTTTACGCTATACTGCTACTGCTGGAATTATAAAAAAAAAACTTGGGAGTTGGATGTAAAGGGACCTGCATCCATTTACCTCTACGTCCGCCTAGGTCTGGGAAAAAAAAACCAAAACAGAGGAAGAGACCTGAAGGGGATGGCTTGTGGGTAATCTGATGCAAATGGCCACATGTAAACTTACATGTGACTCCCCCCCCTAAACTTAACATGGGTCCGCTTAGTTCAGTTTCTTCCGCAATCACAAGAGAGGAATAAACTGAACAGACATGGAAGTCACAAGAATGACAACTGTTCCGTACTGCTCCAATCAGCAGGGCACGGATCCTCGGCTGATGGGAATGGATACTGCCTGTGTGAAAGGGCCTTAAAGTGACACTAAACTCACGAGTTAAAGTGACATTAAGGGCAAAAGTCCCGTCCCGTCCCCCACAGTGCTAATATAAGGACTTACCTGAAATGATGTCTCTTAATCCGATCTTCTTTCCTGTAGTTTTTAGCTGTCCCTCCAGCGCTGGTGCGGGTCTCCAATCCAGCGCTGGCTTCTCTGTCCTCCTCTTCTCAGATATCCCACGGAGTCTGTGCGGGTGCATGCTGCTCAATAGACTTACCTTGTGTCTCTTCTCGTCTCCCGGCCGAACATCTAAACTGCGCATGTGCCCGCCCCAAGATCCTTTGCGGCCGCCCGTTTTTTTTTATCGTTTTGCATATTTCTACTGCTTGCTAGCACTAGATATATGCAAAAACATGTGAGGGTTTAATAACCCTCTAAGTCTTCAAAATGCATTCAAGTACCCTAAATAGCAACATTAAACATATCTTCAAAATAACAACAAAGGCACCTTTAGAAATATTTAGAAATTACAATCTACAAACAGATACTTATAGATAATTGCCGGCTTTTTATTTTTTGCATACATTAGTTTTCTTTTTTTTCTCCAGTCTTCTAACAGTGGCCATTTTAACTAAGGGCAGGTTACTAGATCTATAGGACACGTGACCATGCACATCATCTCAGGGAAGGAAAATGCCTTTCCCTGAGATCTCATGACAATACAGATGAGATTTCCCAGCAATGTTCTGTAACTTTCCCAGAATGCAATGCTTGGGCACAATTACATAATTTGTGCCGAAGTGGACCAGGAAGTAGAAAAAATAAATTGTAAGTAAAATAAAAATATATGTTTGTTTAGCTAATGAATGTAAGATGATTTCATATCAGCATGCAGAGCTGTATGCTGATGTGATTTTAAGTCAAAGAGGGTAAAGGTCTGCTTTAACGATTAACAAAATGTATCTTATTTGTGTATCACTCAGCTGTAGATCTTCAAATCATCTCTGAATTGGTGTTAATGATGTCCTTCCTTCTGGAGGGTGGCTGTTTTTGTTCCCCATGGTCACCTGTGTGTGTTGTAGTCACCGGTCCAAGCTCGCTCCTGTGATGGACTACAATCTCAATACAATTAGCTAAACTAAAAGTGAGATTGTAGTCCATCATGGTCAGCAAGCTTTACAACACTACTACTACTTTACAACACACACAGGGACCATGGGGAACAAAAGTAGCCACTCTTTTTGAGGATCTAAAGCTGAGTGATAAAAAATGTAGCTTATTTGTGTGTTACTAGGTTCTTAAATGCATTTTTAAGATTTGAAAGAGAACTATGGCCAAACCTTTTTTGTCTGTAGTTCTCATTAGGGTCACAGGAGGACATTTACTAATGTCCTCCTATGACCCAAAACTCAGCATATAGTGGGCTATTGCAAGCCAATGCTGAAAGCACAGAGCCGCGCTGCAGTCGGGATCCACCCAGCTGCCTGAATGACAGCTGGCTCTAGAGGCAGAGCCAACTGTGCCCACCTCCGCCTCTGTCTGTCCCTCCAGACAGAGCTGGAGGAACGCAGAGGGGGAAGGGGAAATCCCTGCGGGGAGCCGTGACTGACAGTCACCGTTCTGTGAAGGGAGAAGATCGTGACTGAGTGATCAGTGGTATGTAATCACTCTGTTCTCGAGCAATAGAACAGACATGTCACACCAACAGTGTCACACGTCGGCTCTAACTATTGGGATGAGTGTATTTCACTCATCCCATAGTC